ACAACAACAACGATGTCTAATGCAATTACAGCTCATCGCCAACACCGACGACAACACCAATTGATATCTCGCGGACCAGTTTTGTCCATAAAAAGGTATTATTCAAATCATTTAAGTCCTGGTGAATGAGATTTGCAAAATAACCAGTAGAATGGGAACCAAATTATCTATCGATCACTTAACCTTACTGACTCTCTCTCTCTCTCTCTCTCTCTCTCTCTCTCGCCAACACCGACGACACCAATTGATATCTCGCGGAAAAAAGTGCGCTCAGAGAAGATGCCGGAGAATATGACTGCGAGGCCACCAATACTGAGGGCTCCACTAAAACCACAGTTTTAATCAATGTTTTGTGTCAGTATTCTTCTATTTGTTGTCTATCATATTATTGATTCATTATATGTTTGATTCAAAAGTCGGACCAATTATTGTTGACATATCGAAGACAGTCTTAACAGATTCTGGAGAATCGGTTCAACTCTCATGTCTTTGTGTCGCAAATCCAATGACTTATTATTGATTCATTATATGTTTGATTCAAAAGTCGGACCAATTATTGTTGACATATCGAAGACAGTCTTAACAGATTCTGGAGAATCGGTTCAACTCTCATGTCTTTGTGTCGCAAATCCAATGACTGATGAAATAATTGAGTGGAGGAGAGAAGGAAACACTAATTTCATAAAAGATCAGAGAATTAACGTACAAAACGAAAGGGGAAAGTCTGTTCTCTCCATCTTCAATGTCAGCGCTGACAGAGATAGTGGAGGCTATGAGTGTCGGGGTTGGTATCACTACAGCCTAACTGTTCCCAAATGCATGTAATGTAGTCGAGAGTAATGTGCTTTTACTTAAATATAATGAAATCTACATTTTTCCCCTTTTAATGGATTGCTTTTAAAGTAGTTTTTTCATTTGGACGTTAGCTTTGATCCGTTTTTATTAAAATTTCTTTAAAGCGTTTCAAAACTTAATCTCATTTTAAGGATTTTATTAATAAATTATTTTTATATTTTTAGCCAATAATGGCATTGGAGTGGAAGCTGTAGAAAGAGTACATATTTTGATTAAAAGCAAACCGGAAATTGTGTTAAACATGACTTCAGTGAATGTTGCGGCCGATGAGTCTGAAAGTGTCAAAATGGTTTGTACAGCCATTGGTGTCCCGAAAGTCGAGTTTAAATGGTTGGGCGCTGACAACCAGGTGTTTAGCAGCGAATCCGATATATTGGTTAATAATAACGTGAAATATTTTCGCTACAATTTGGAGAGAAAGCAAATCTCAGAGTCTGTATTTCAGAGCGCATTCACTATAAAAAGCATAACTGATAGCGAACTCAATAAATCATTTGAATGCATTGCACACAACGATAAGGGAAAGACACAAACAGTCATTAAATTAAGAAAACGTGGAAAACCTGATCCACCCCTTCATATTAAAGTCGTTAATATGACACATAACAGCGTTTTCCTCAATTGGACGCCGGGTTTCGATGGAGGACTCAAACAGTCATTTAGAGTCAAGTTTTACACAATCGGACAAAACAATTACCAGAACAAAGAGACGGACAGGAATTGGATTCTCATTAAAGGGTTGGACAGCCGTACGGAATATAATTTTCTTGTCCATTCATTCAACGGTTTCGGCGAAAGTAATGGCAATGAATCTAATAATTCAGTGAATGTGTCGACTTTTGCCACAGAATTTGATTCTAGCGAAGCGTTAATCGATGGATTCAATAAACCCAAGTCTAATCAAAACAAATCATTTTCAACGATAATTATAGTAATCTTCGTTTTAGGACTTTTTCTCATCGTATTGAATGTCTCTCTTTTAATCTGTTATTTTAAATGGAAAAAACGTATCCAAAGTGGACATAAGGATCAGTCGACTGTCACGACTACCAAAGCCAATACCAGTAGTGCTAATAAAGTGAAAGTTAAGGTCTATAAGGATGCCGTCAATGGAGAGACAATACTATTGAAGGCATTCAATGAGGAAGAGGTGGACATAACGACTGGGTTACCGCCGATCGGCGATCAGACCACATATATGGACGACTCGGACACTGGAAAACATTGTGAAGTGCTTCTGATGAATGATTTGCACTCGTCTTCGAGCACATCCATAGCACAGCCATTAACTCACGTTTTGCTCAGAAATTGTCAGAACTTCCATAAGACTAAAGGCTTATCGTTAGAGACCCAGAATTGTCCCGATATTATCAAAAACCCTAATATGGATGTAAGTGCTCTTTATTTGATGGACTCTAACTCTATTATCGTATAACAAATGGTTATAAACTAATGAAATCTAATTTATTTAATTCAATAGAACTACGAGATGGAGGCCACAAACGGCACATTAACTCACAAACAGTTTAATAGTTATTGCAATCATATAAACGCTGCCAATAATACGAGTGATTCAGTAAACTATAGTAATAGTCATAATAATACAAATACAATACAAATGCAAAATTCAGAGAAATTTCAATTAAAATCAATTCTGAAGAACGGAAGCCTTAAATCACGACAAACACCTGAAATTCATATGCTTTGAGACATTACTCATACACCGATTCATTAAACATAGAAAGCATTCATTTATTATTCAGTATTATATCAATATTATTATTATTCATATTATATACTGTATCTATATATAAATATTTATAGAAATAGATTTATATAATATAAGAATCGAAATATTTTTGTTATAAATGTCTCATATATATAGTAATGAATAGATTTTGCAATAATTATTTGTGCCTTAATTATATTTAATACTTAATTAAACTTTTTGATATTGATTTATAAAAAGCAATGAAAATAAACTGTTGATGTGAATGACATTTACATTAAAACTGTTTTAGTTATTAAGAAAAAAGTCATTAATAATGAAATGACTGATTGAGTGGAAAGTGAGATCACATCTAAAGATCATACTCTCGATGGGGTTGTAATGGACAGGAGGTTCTCAGGGGTTCATGAAGTAATGGATGTGAAACGGATTTCAAGTCAACTCTCGAGTGATAGGACCAGTTAGGCGTCGCAACGCTGCTGGACATGTGTTGATCACTGTCTATGCTGTGGTCTTCATCGACTGGAATCAGTTTCAATGGCTTCAGTTTGTGTCCACTTGTGTCCAAACCTTGTTTGCCACAGCACCTCAACTTCTTGTAGCAAAGCATAGATACGAGACATAGTTTGACACCAATGATGAGGACACTGCCGATGACTGTCAACACAGTGGCCACTAAACCCGTCTTCCTCCACAAGTCTGTGTTAGAGTTGGCTATTAATCGCAGTGTTATTCCCATTGCTATCAAGAATATCGCCAATAATGACAAACCAATTGCCAAATGACACCAAACTCTGCCACTTAATGACATTTGCATGCAATTTATGAACGCAATGAATGCTAACTTAACACTTGTTATAATTGTCGCTTTTATGTTATTATATTTATTTATATAAAAGTGGAAATTATTATTAATAAAAAACATAAATAGCTTCCATTTAAAGGCTTTTAAAAGTTTACAGAACTATTTCATACATAAAATACATGCAATTCTGTAATTCAATGGAAATAATGAGCACTTATCTGTGAATTCATAAAACAAATCTGACATCACTTTCTTCTTAAGTGTTTTACAAACGCTTCAAATCTGATAAACGTTTGAGTTTTAGTTAAATTCATTTATTTCGCTGATAAAACTGAGTCCAATGATAAATATAACATTATATGATAACATTGCAAACAAATAAAACCAAATTATACCAAATAATCATATTACTGTATATTATACTGTATTACTATAGATTATGTCAAAAACAGTAAATCAAATGAATTTTGACATTTGTAGGAAGACCCGGCTGCAAGGCAGGTATTAATAGGTTTAGTAATTTTGTGATTTACTACAGAACTTTTAAAATTTTGTCAAATAAATAATTTTATTTAAATTACAAGTGAGGTATATGTAAATATTTTGGTATTTTTATTAGACACGAAATTCTATAAATATTACAACTTATTATTTAAAAGGAAAATAATTTTATATGCTATGTGAACATAAAAATGTTACAACAAATTGTATATTGAGGGAAATATTTCATATTGAATAATGAATTTAAATATATTGACTCTAATATTGATTTACTAGTAGTTTGAGAGCAATACAGAAGTCAAGAGCAAAGAACTGAATGTTGACATTGGATTGGATTTGTATTTATATGATAACCAATGAAGACATTTGCAAATATGAGGAATGCTATGAAAATAAACTCACAGAATATTGAATGTCAATACAAGTAAACTAAATGAAAATACTATATTTAATAAATTATGTTTCTATTTGATTGTAAAAGTTTATTATTAATATTAAATATAATCGATTGCTTTGAAAACAACAGGAAATGAATGGAAACAACGTTTTGATAATATTATGCTGTATTTGAGTTAACATTTTGATTTCCTTGCTCTACTTCTATAGATTGTTTGGTTTTAATTTTAAAAACTATTAATATTTTCATATCAATCATTGCATCCTCACAGATATTAATATTTGCATTATTTATATATTAATAATCCAATGGTTTATAATTAAAAATCTAAACGAATTAAAATGACATAATATGTGGAAAGGGAGATTGAAAAGGTTGGATAAGGATTACTTGTCATTCAAACAACTATTAAACGACAATAAAATGTGCTTGTCTGTAATTCTAGAAAAAATTGTCGAAAACAAGAATTTCAATAAAAAATTCATGTTTACTTGTTATGACATATTTCTTGCATTTTACAAATATTAAGTTTTATTAATTTTTATACTAGTGATTGTATGTAATAATTATTAGAGATATAAATATTTCCTGTTTAAAATGATAAATACACCTGTAAGATATTTATAATATAACTCTTGATTTATTATATTTGCAATAATTTTATATTAAAAATTAATCTAAACGCCAAAAATATACTTTAAATCAATATTTTTATTAATTTCATCAACTTTTAGTTTATGGCCCCTAGCGTTCAATCATAAGTGTTTTTGTATTTTTCAAAAATATGAGTTATATTGAGTTTTATTTATAGAAACACTTCATATTTGACTACAAACAATTTTAAAATACTAACGAATAAGAATCTAATTATCAAACCAAACAAGATATTTGAGAAATATGTATATTTTGTATCTTGGAGATATTTATTTTAGAGTTAAGATTTTAGATAATTGTACTTGCAATTTTCAAGATTTTTCAATTAATTTTCCAATTAATTTTTTCTTTCTTTACCATAAATTTATTAACCTATAAAAGGTGTTCAAAATTAGCGTTGTAAACACACATTACCATAGAATCTATGGCATAGATAAACAATACCTATCTGGAAAATCGTTAATTTATTTTAAAAATTTTATACTGTATAAATAGTATTTATTTTTTAAACTAAAATTTATAAATAATAATTACCAATTTTATTAGTTTTAAACATTAAAGCCATTATTTAAATTTTTATCAAATAAAAATACTATAATTCTAAAAATAAATGAAATCTTTTCATGTAGTGCGAGTGAAATAATTGATTGTGGAGTAGACCACCCTGTTTGTAATTAATTTGTGGATAATTGTTTGTCTATTCACCAGGACTTAAATGATTTGAATAATACCTTTTTATGGACAAAACTGGTCCGCGAGATATCAATTGGTGTTGTCGTCGGTGTTGGCGATGAGCTGTAATTGCATTAGACATCGTTGTTGTTGTGTCTGATATGTCGAGCAACGGAAGGCTGTCTTTCCACCAGATGTATGATATAAGTGATGGATTGCCTCTCGCACTCAAATTAACTGAAATGTCTTCGCCTTCAATGACATCATACTTCTGTTGAGGCGGTGCCACGAATTGAGGCTTAACTGGATTTTCGAGCTAAACATTAGTTTAATTACAATATAATTAATATGAACTCACATAAGACACTGAGAGTAATGTTAGCGCCGGATCTTTTGCCCAACACTTGATTCACAGTTTCGCAATAGATATGGTTCTCGTCATCCTTTGTAGTGATGTCTAGTTTGAGACCACTTCTGCTATTCTTCCCACCAAATGGTGCTGAAGACTCAATCACTTCTTCATACAATTTGCTTTCAATTTTGATACCATTTTTATACCAAAACACTTCACACATTGGATTACAAGCACCGGAATCACAGATCATATTTAGCACATCTCCCGATTTGGGATATTTTGGTTTCAACTTAATAGTCACTAAATCTGATATATAAAACACGGATAATTTGATTGAAGCACTCAATGGCTTAAAAGTGGCCGCATTTGATGCTTCACATCGATAAGTAGCGCCGTTATCGGGAGCCTCCGCTCTGATCACCAGTTCACTCGATACTCCACTTCCACTCATTGAAGTCAATGCACTGATCTCTCGATCCAAACCAACATCACTACCAATACTCAACATTTGCCACCGAAGTGTTGGCAATGGATTGCCTCCCATTGAAACACCTGTTTTAACATACATTTGAGTGTTTCATATCTTGAATAAATCATTAAATAATCTACTGTACAATAAGTTATATTTAAATGTTAAAGAATTTGTCGTTTCTTAACACTAAACTAACAGTTTTTGCATATGTTTTAGTAATTCTGTATTCTTAAGAATTATATAATAGGTTTACTTTAGATTTTGTATTAAAGAATTTTAATTTATTATAATAAAAATTTAATGCAAAATATTGAAGAGTTAGACTAATGGGAAGCAGATTATGATGCATTACATTCTCATATAAATATTAATCTCAATTAAAGCGATTACACCACTCGTTAACAACTTATAAAACTCATTCTATCATTAAAACCATTGTTTCAACAAAAATATATTCAGTGATAAAAAGCACTTAAAACTAAAATGAAAGTATTTTATAGAGAAGATTGCTTTAATAAAAGAGTGAGAATATGCAATAAATCATAATGTTTTATAAGTTTCCATCAATTTTTGATATCTCTTTAAAAAAGATGAATAACTCAGAGATTTATAACTCAAATCTTATTCGGAATAAAAAATATTTTCTGTTCTTTAATCAAAAATCCTTTATTTCAATCGTAACTATTTGAGGCGAAAATAAAAAATTGCAAACAAACAAAAATTATATGTAAATATAGCATATACATTTATATTCTGTAAATATAGATTTTTAATAACTATGAAGCAATTGATTGAAAAATATCTCGATTGAAATATATATATACTGTAAATATATCATTTATATTTTTATTGATGTGTTTTATGAAACATTTGATATAATTTGATGAAAATTTTTCTCATGAATTATTCATAGATAGAACAGTTTTTCCGTAAGAGAAAGAGTAGATTTTAAATTAGATTTTGTCTACTTTTGACACATTTTAAATGATAAACGCATACAAATGCAAAACGATAGCAATGTATCAGAAAAGTACTCACATTTAAATCTATACAGTTCTCCAGACACTAAGTTTGTTCCCTCTTTGTATCCAATAATATATGGCACTCCGGGAGGGTCTGACCATTAGATAAGTGAAAATAAGAAAAATGAATTTTTATTTATAAACTATTCATAGAAATGTTTTTCCTTTGTAACAAAGATTCTCGCAATACTTACACAGAATATCGATATTTAAAGTCTGAACTATGGTTTCTCCGAGAGCTTCGGAAACGGCATAACACGACACCGTTTTAGAGTCGGGATCATTACTGGTCAGAGTGAACGTGATGTTAGAGCTCGTAACCCAACCCTCCTTTGTCTCTACAATCCATGTACTCAATGGCAGAAACGCTCGGCCTTTCAGTGATAATAAAATAGTAATCTGTTTATAAATTATAAGGCGATTACTGAGTTTTTTTACAATCATTTTCACTAAATTTGTTTTAACGCTAGCGCAATACTTATAGTGCTTTATTACTATTAAACAACGTTTATTTCTTATTAAAAAAACAAACAAATATAAAAGTGGTAAATTTGTATTGAATAGTGACACAGAATATTGCAATATATTGTAGTGTGCAGTAATTTATTGTATAGTATAGTAGTGAAGTACTGTACAATACAGTGTATAGAATATTGGATTTAATGCTCACATTTTCCTGATTGGAGTCAATAAATATTAGATTCTAAGGTATATTAATCGTTGGCTTTAGTCACAGGAATCTACAGTAACTGAACAGTAGATCCTTAATATTTAATAGTCGTGTGAATTCAGTACAAAATTAAATTTAGGTCTCAATGGAGAAGAGTCTGGGATCAGTCATTATTAAAGATTTGAAGTAAATTACTATAAGTAGTCTTATCTCATACAGCATTGGTTTGAGTAAACTCTCGCATTGAACTAAGTTACATGTATAGCTTTAATAAAACTATTATTTGAATCAATTTAATAAATGCAATCAAAATGCTCCCAATTTTGCCATTAATTTGAACCTAAACTCATAATTGAAACTCATTTGATTAATTTGTTAACAGTACTATAAAGCATTAATTTTTACTTAAATATCGTACACATAAATAAATAAAGACAAAAATTATATTAAATTAAGTTAAATTAGGAAAAATTATAAGATAAGTAAAAATTACACACAATTATATGTAAATTTATAAAATAAATGAATGCGATCTAACCGTCAATGATCCAGGACACTTCGGCACTTGGATTGGCAGGTCCGGCCACACACGTCAAAGTGATTGTTAGCGGTTGGGAAGGGACAAAATGAGGTAAATACAGGTGAAATTGGCGACCTTGACTATATGTTCAATTACCGTAATTTAGTTAATTAAAACTTGTAATTGAAATATTTACGGCAATTTAAAGACTAATCATTTCATTTCATTATTTATCGATTTTTGCTTTTAAAGAATTGTTATAATTTTTCTTTAATATAAATTATAAGTTGAGTTTCAAAATAAACTCAATCTTCTGTCGTAATGGAGATATTAATCTCAAATTCACTCGATTTTCTAATACAATAAAAGAATTGCCGGAAAATTATTCCCAAAACGAAAAAAGAAGAAACAATTGATGGCTTTATATAAGAAACTGATTATTATTAGTAAATACCATGAAATCGAAACAATAAAAAAAATTAAATCCACTTATTTTGAACATTAAATCAGATTGTAATGAATCATAAATAAGGCATCACTTAAACAAAACACAACCAAAGGCTTAATATTTAATTTGTATGGAAAGGCTTATTATGTAATTTCTTCAATTCTTGTGATCACTTGATGTACATTACAGGACAGGGGAGGGATTGAGTGGAAAGTTCTCAGACATATAAAGTACAAGAAATAAATGTCTTACACAATACTTTGAGTTTTATGAATGAAATTAACGGTTGAGTCGTGACATCGTTAGTGGCCTCACATTTGTAAATAGCATTGTTATCATTGGGTTTAACCTTAAAAGTGTATATATTGGTGGCCTCTCGACCTCCAGAGCTCGAGTATGTATTGTCCACTTCCTGTCCATCTTTATACCAAATTCTGAAAGAAATATTAAAATAAAAATCTTAAAAT